GGTCCTGTCCCAGTGATTTATACTCACTGTGGCAAATATTAAGTCCCTGCCAGTTAGAGATGCAGAGAACTTACCTATCTGAAATTTGGACAGCCATGGATATTGCTGTAGCAGGCAATGAATCAAATTGTCAGTCTCAAACTATGCTGATGATAAGTGGGCCTCTGCAAAGCCTCAGGGACACACACAGTGTCTCCATGAGCAAAACATCACATAAATACCTGCCAACTTTGATACTTTGTTAGCACAGAGCTCATCACGAGGGCCGCCGGGCTTGTTGCTCCAAGTTTTTAGCGATTGTTGTCATTTCAAATGGCCGCCGGTCTTGCTTTGTTTGAGTACAAGATAACGATCAAATAAAAAACGAGGAGAGCGGACAGGAAAATGAAATGAGGAGCTTGTGTCTGTGTGTGGCCACGCAACGCAGAGTAATGTGTTTATCCCCATCCTACACTTCACTGGAGAGCAACATCTACATCCTGCATGTGCCTCTTCAGCCTCATGTTGTTTAACTCGGGGTTCATTCGGTTTAAAGATTAAACACTTTCCCAGCCAAACAAACATGGCAGGACAGTGTGCAAGTGTGCAAAGTGGAATAAATCGAGTCAGTTGCTCTGGATAATAGCATCTCCCAAATATGTATTAAAGAAAATTGTTGTGTTATATCACTCTCATGTCTGCATGACGCTGAAGCCGTAACAGCTTATCTTAGCAAAAATAAAACAGGAAACCTGACTCTGTCCAATGTTAAAATATATGCATACCTGAAGGCTCACTAATTAACACATCATACCTTGTTTCTTTATTGCACACACAGCGAGTTATGTGCTGGAACTATTCCTGTTTGAGTGCTTTGGATTCCAGCTAGAGGCACAGCTCTAGAAAATTCATGATGAATTGAAGTTGTAGGGGTCTGTGTTTAACAACAGCAACATCAAAAAATCTGTTAACAAGCTTGTACAACTCGAGCATTAGTCTATAATCCAAGCCTCAGTTATACAGTTGTATGCTCAGTGTTTCCCAAACACATTACATTACCTTGCTGTTGCACAGATTTCTCCACAGGGGGCTTATCAGCGCTCTCCTCAAAGCCAGAATCCATTGACACAAACAATAATTTCACCTCGTTGAGCACAGGAGCTGCTGCTCTTCTGCTGCCTTGGTTACTTTGTGTTATTGTGTGACTTCAGTGAATCCAAACTAACCCTTTAAAACACCAAAGTCACACAACAGCACAAACAAATTAGTGATGGGCAAAGCAGTTCTTTAGATGTTACTGAATCACTAGAATCAGGTCATTAAAAAGATTTGTTCAAAAGATTCGTTCACCGAATCATTCAGTGCTTGGCGGGAGGAGCCCTGACTGTGTACTGCGTCCAGCTCACTGAACTGATACAAGGCTGAGCTGCTGCTGCGTCTGCCCTGCACTGGTGAGTCTCATTACTGGCCACCCTAACGTTTTAAGTTTATCTGGAAACTAAGTCTTTTTAAACAATGGGGAGGTGTGTGATTGTGTTCATGTAGCTTGACTCCTGGCTACATTAGCCGTTAGCTTGGAGAAAACGGTCCCTATGAAAGTGTATCGCTGAGAAGAAATGATTTGAATCACTCAGGGATTGGTGGTTACGTCCTTCACCGAGTGATTCGTCACGCTTTAGGCAGTCCCGGCCTGCGCGCTCGCTGCTGAGCTCAAGTGAACTGAGAAATGAACAAATCAGTTCCAGATGGGATTCAGTTCAGTACGTTCACTCAACAGATTTGTTCGTTTGAACGATTCATTCGCTAACGACACAACACTAAAACAAATGAACTGATTGAAGCAGTGATGGAACAGTTCAGTATGGTAAAATAACTGTTTTTATCAGTGGAGACATTAAAGCATAGATAAGTTTCACTTTCAGTTATGTTATACATAGTAAGGTTTTAGCGAAAAGGCTGGTGTTTTGGGAAGTACTGAACATGCAAATGAGGGTCTAGTGAAAGTTGAGTCAAGAAGGGTCAATTTCAGTCATCAGCTGATCCACAATCAACCAGTAGCACAGCAACACACCTTCTCTGTCAGCCTATCATCTCACTGCTCCTCATTTTAAATGTGATTCTTTCTCTGCCGTAGTTCTTTCTTGCTGAAGCAGTCGGCAGCCTCAGAGTCATCAGCTACCACCACCAGTGTCTGGACTCCATGGGGGGGACTTATCCTGCTGCTGCTCAGATGTCCCTCGATCACAGAAATCTTCCTCTGATATTCAAGTGCCAAAGACTTCTGTTAAATCTTAATCAGCACAAAGCATCTGCTAATCTGTACACTCATATTCTGTATTAAATATTATCTTGACTTCAATCGTCTGTCTCTCCTGATTGAACTGGATAAATGAGACTTGCATTATACTGCATGAGTTGTGTAACAGTTTGTAAACGGATGTTTTGATATAGGCTTGCTGTTGCCAAACTGTGACCCAGATGACTTCAATTCATCAAGAAGTTTTTGAATTTTTGGATTTGTTGTTCACCAGAGAGGCATGGCGCTGCAGTGGTTAGCACTGTCGCCTCACAGCAAGAGGGTTTCTGGTTCGAACCAAGGGTGGGGGGTTCAAACCAGGGGTAGGTGAGCTGCTCTGTGTGGAGTTTGCATGTTCTCTCCATGTCAGCTTGGGTTTTCTCAGGGTACTCCGGCTTCCTCCAAAAATCCAAAGACATGCAGGTTAGGTTATTTGGTGACTATAAATTATCTGCAAATGTGTTGTCTATGTCTCAGCCCTGTGATAGTCTGGCGACCTGCCCAGGGTGTACTCCGCCTCTCATCCAGTGTCAGCTGGGATAGGCTCCAGCCCCCCCACAACCCCTAACAGGATAAGCAGTTATGGAAAAATTATGGGGGGTGAATAATTGATATACAAATTGTCATTTTGGGCCGTGAGGTATTACTTTAAAATGTCATTTTTGTACAGCTTACATTTACTTTGTGTTAACATGTTAAGACTTCTAGCTGACACAGTTACTCAGGTTTTATGGTGCAGCCTTATTTGAAGCTAGCCAGTGATAACAAAGAATTTGCAAGCACTTTTGCACAAACACAACACATAACTCCCAATAAAACTTCTAATTTTGAACTTAAAATGAGCCATGCTAGCTGTTTGCTTTCACATTAATCATGGTAGCTATGATTTTCTGTTTAAAATGTTAATTTGGTTTCTATTTGGTGGTTTAATGTTTAGAAAAAGGCAGGAAAGAGAGGTCTTTCCTGTCCGACCTCCACACTCCTCTCTCCTCTACTCCCATCTGTATTGTGTTAAACACATAACGCCAGCCACTAACATGCTCTTTTAACCACTTATGGGATTTTCTGCGCTGCCCTCAACGTCACATTTCCTCACTAGATATATTGATGAAACATGTCAGATTGTGTTATTGTAAAGCGGTCGCCAAGGACCGTGGAAAGCACAGGAGAGCAGCACACCAGGGGCACACCAGCAAGATGTTTTCCACACTGGTGCCCATAAGAGCCACTAAAATATGTCAACAAATGACGTATCTGGTTGATCTTTTAAAGCCTCGGGGCAGACCAGACATCTGAAAGTTGTCAGAGGTGAGGTGGAAGACATTTTCACACAGTCACTCGAGTGTTCTAAGTCTATTTTGCTTTGAAAGAGCTTCACTCACAGGCATTAAAGGAAATCATAGTGAGAGTCAGATTACTAAAATCCCTCCAAGGACACAACCTGTACCATAATCTGATTTTTTTCCAGCTTCTTAAATTTAGGCTTCTTCTTGATTTTCTGTCACATATTCCTGAAATTGTAACAGAAAAATGTTCATTCCTGATAATTACCCTGATACCTGGCTGTCAGAGATAAGAAGTTAAATAAATCCCTGTCAGGAGTTGCGTACGGGGAGAGAGGAGCAGCAGCAGAGCACTTCTGACATTTCTTAATGGAGATAAAACATTTCTGGAGAATAAGACATAACTGCGGATGACACCTGCCTAAGCCTAATGACAAAACTGAACTCCCAAGATTACTAAGAGCCACAGATGTTCTCATGTGCACAGAGTATTCCTTGCAGCAAAGCTCTTCTGCACTGAACGGTGACTGAATGCTCAAAGGCTTCCCCACCAATAATCCAAACCCTGAGAGAGTGATGCAAATATATACTGTAACACTGTGAATTCAGTAGCGATAAATGACTGTACATGAACCTCATGGGAGATTAGAGGGAGGCATAACCTTGTTGCTCATGAGATGTGCTTCAGTATAATCACCAGATACTAATTCAGCAGGATTAAACTGAAAATATTGCAGCATCACCTTCAGTGATAATATAATTTTCTGACTGAAAAGACTTCTGATGAACCAATTATCCAATTGCCCTTAAAATGAGACCTGTAAGCAGCTCTTTATGGTAATTATTCACATATAAAATAGGCAAAAAACAGCAGAAAATTATACTTTTTATCACAAAGGGATTGCTGACATCAGACTGCATGTACAAGTGGCTAAACTCAGACAAACACCTGGTATGCAATGGCCCTAAAAACTCTTAATCTAACAATCCCAATTCAGATTATGGAATAAAATACGTCTGAGAGAGAAGACATCATGAATTGAGGACATCCTCAGACAAAATATGAATTAAACTGGCTTGTAAAACAATGTCAAATTATATCACATATATATATATGTATATATATGTATATATGTCATATATTTAAATACAAAGGGGCTTAACATTTTTTTACGTTGGATCAGTAACTGCAAAAATCAAATTCATATCGACTCATAATTCACACAGCAGCACAGCAAGCAGCTGGATCATGATTTCCAAACTCATCTAAATTGGTCTGTATTAAAGGTTTACCGTCCTCCTCCGCCTCCACAGTGTTTAAAGTGGCTTTAATGTCAATACAAAATAGTTTAAGTGAACCGACTCTTCACCACTAACCACACAAGACATTTTCTTTTTAAAATAAAATGTTTTAAAAAATGATAAAATAAGCGGTTACTTACTTTTGGCAGGTATCCGTAGAGCAGCAGCAGAAACAGCAGCTGTGAAGCATCCATTCTGTCTTTAGTTTGTGGACTTTTCTCATGAAAGACTCCTCGATGTCTGCAAAACTCCCCTGATAATATGTAAAGGTGTGTGTGGAAAAGCGAGGCTGTGTGTGTGTTGGTGCGTTCAGATGTGTGAGGGAAGATAAAGCGTCACCGCTGCTCTATCGGACTGCGCTTTTCTCTGTGCGCTCCTCCAGCAGGAGAGCTGCGTCTGTTTGACTGTACCCGCCCCCCCACCGCCCATTCACAACTCCTCAGTGTCCCAGGAGGCAGTTTGTTAACAAGGCTGTCAGGCTGCTGGTGCGTGCCAGGCTAATGCGAGGTTAAAGGAGGATGCTGGAAGTAAGAAGACCCCTTAGGTTTATTATTAAATGTTGGGAATACGTTTGTGATGTAAGAAAAATAAGTTTCCAACCAAATAGGGTGCAAATTTTAACCGAATTTTCAAAAAATCTGCAAAAGAAAATGCAGGGCTTTGTCAGGAGTAGGTTTATCAAGATGAGCAGTAGGTGGCGCTAATTTTCCAGGTGCCATAGCAGAGGAAGACCCCTAAAGAAGAAGGCCAGATGACTTAGGTCCGGTTTATATGACAAGGATTTCAACTTGAAACGGTAAACTTTAGTTGCGTTTTGGCTGATCGTTTATATGACAGCAGCGTTTTGGGTGCCTGAAAACGCAGCGTTTTGAAAACAGGTTCCAGAGTGCAATGTTTTGGAAACGGCGCTCCATTGTCCATTGTCATGTAAACTTGCAATATGCAGTTCCTCTGAAAACGGAGACCTTTCACACATGCGCATTACGGATCCAGTCACTAGGCATGTGCGAATAAGTCGACCATCACAACAACAATGGCGGACTCTGTTTGTGCTGCTCACCCTGTTGATTTTATCAACGCTTCTTCAGCAAAGTGTAGATCTACTGTGGCTACTCCACCTCGTTGCGATCCTCTCCGCTCCTCTCAAGTCAAGTCAAGTCAAGTCAAACTTTATTTATAAAGCACATTTAAAAACAACCTCAGTTGACCAAAGTGCTGTACAGTTATTGAAATATAATATAATCATACACAAATATCATAATAAATAAAACAATAAAGGAAATAGTAAGAGCTCAATTAAAAAAACTAAAATTAGAATAAAAAAGTAAATAAAAGAGTAGAAAGAGTAAAAGCCAACAACAACACTTGAGCACCTGTTCTGGGATACACAGTGTCGGCCTGCCCGGCCTGACCTCTGTGGCCATCCCTGGACAGATGCTCAAGTGTGGGTGAAAGGATTGAAGAGGACTGCGGAGGTCAGGCCGGGCGGGCCTCAGGCTTTCAGTCTCTTTATAAAGGATACCGACCCCCGGTGTGAAGGATATAGTGGCATCTAGCAGTGAGGGTGCAGATTGCAACCGACTTCTCCTGCATGTCAAACGTGTAGAAGTATGGTGACCAACTTGAAACCATGAATGGCTCTGTCTAGAGCCAGTGTTTGGTTTGTCTGTTCTGGATTTCTGTAGAAACAACATAGTGGACTCCATGAGAGATGACCAGCTCTGCATGTAGATGGCTTTTACGAAAACACAACGATTCTTCGCTTCCATTGATTATAAACGAATGAAAATATATTTATGACTATCAAATTCCACTTCTGCCAATAGACGCCTCCGAAACCCACACACTGGACCTTTAATTTGAGGAAGGTTACTGATGTTTTCGTGTTGATTCAGTGGACGTTTATATCAAATGCTTCATTAATTTGCTAATCAGTTTTCATTGAACTTTGGTGCAATTTGCTTGCCTCAGCTGAGCATAAAATTTGTTTTTAGCCTTTCCAGCCAGTTTTTAATACTCATATTGATAATGCAGGTAAAATCATACCGATGTAAACACACTTTGGCCCCAGTCACACAGAAAGTGTTTCAGCAGCTAATTGTTTTAATGAGAATCTAAGCTTTTTGCTCACTCTTTTTGTGTTGCTATGTGCCTCGCGTTTCTGCGTTTTAGGCGTCTGGCATTTTTGCCAGAGCACTCTGAACTCCTCAAGCTGAACAAACTTCAACTCAGAGCTGAAAATCACCCTTAGTCAATTTTCTGAATTCTTGTATTCAACAGTTTGGAGATATGATGTTAAAGATATGAGCAACAATGATATCAGAAGGCGAGAGCTACAGACAGACTTCTGGGTGTCCAGTTGTGCTGTGGAATAAAGTCTGAATAAAGCTGTGAGATTTGAGAAACAAGCAGCGGGAAATATACAACAAGGCATCAACTCCACAGCTGCTTGCTTTGATAAAAAGTCCATTACCCAAATTGCACCTGTGCATCCTCTTGTGATTGCTAATGCATAAAGATGAGAAAGGGTTTTACGAATGAGATGTCAAGCAAATCCATATCAGTCATCAACAAAACAACAAAGCAGAGAGACGAAGACAGAGTTTGTGTCCATCCCTTTAACTGCTCATCTCAGTTTAGTTAGACGCGAAGTTGAGAGAGGTGGTGACAGAGGTCACGTTGGCTTTTTGGGGTCAAAGGGAGGGATGCAAAATGATCTAAAGACCCTTGCAGCACCTTTACAACCCATCTGTCCTCTTCACCACACCCCCCCTCATCCATTCCAGATTACTGGCTACAGCATCAGACATCCAGCTCCTCCATCTTCTTCTTTGGCCACAGTCCCACACCATGCTCGTGCTGTTAGTGTCACTGCTGATCGACCGCCGCTCACAGCTGACCGGACCTCACAGCACAGCTTCATCCTCAGTCTCTGTGACAGGCTGAGCTCACCCTGCGAGGCATTTCTCGGCATGCGCCCGCCCATTAATATTGATGGAAAATATGCTTTGCACGAGCCAAAACAACAACATGTTTCATTTCATCTTTTTATTTATTTATTTTGTGAGATCACAGTCTATGTGTTGTACATGTGTTGAAATAATATGACACGCAATATATAACTTAATCCATGCGTTCAGATGACATGTCTGCACCTTTTAAACACATTTTTCGTCACACTTGTCCTTTACTCCTCCTTGGATCAAACACAACTTGTATAAAATGATATATTAACATGTACAGTAAACAGGGTCTTGTATAACTTGATTTGTGAGTTCTTGTAAAGCACCTGTCCTGTTAAACATCTACATATTGTGTATTTGACGCTATGAACTGACATACCTCTCTCCTTTCAGATGGATAACAAAGAGCAGCCTTTTTGTTGGAGGAGAGCATTTTCTAAGTCGTTAAATGATTAGTTGCATTTGAGACAGATTTGACCTTTGAAGCCAGGAGGGTGATGTATTAACAGACTACCATGAAAAACTCAAGGATCCAAATGAAGGATTTTTTTTACCTCAATAAGGTCAAGAGTCTTTCGGTACTGAATGAGTCTGGAGCTACCTGTGTCAGGATAATAAAAATAATAAATAACTTCATTTGTATAGCACCTTTCAGAACAGAGTTACAAAGTGCTGTACAATAGAAACAATACTGGGATAAGATAGAATAAAAAGAAGAAAAAAAGAAGTCACTGAGTTTGTCTGCCTGAAATCTTCAGGCAGAGAGTTACACAGTTAAAGCTGGGTCACCTGTGGTGACAAATTGAGATTTTGGAGCCATTAGGAGAGCCTTGCGGGAGGATCTCAGGCAGCAATCAGGCTCATGGGGAATTCATCGGCACAAGCCTGATCATTCAAGTCTTGAAAGACAGGCAGAAAAATCGAATAATCAATTTTAAAGCTCACAGGTAACCAGTGATGTTGTGACGTGATCAGTGATGTGAAGAGGCAATGGATGAGAAAGAATTAACCAGCTCATATAATACAACATTGATTAATAGCAGGATAAACTGTTCCTCTAGGTCTCAGAGAATGCCATTACACTTTCAACGGGCACTGTGTAGGAATTTCTCCCATCTAGTGTTGAGATTGTATATTGCATTCAAACGGATAGTGCACTCTAGCGCCTCACTGTTTCAAACGCGTATTGCAACAACGTGACGCGAGTTGACAAACCCCCTCCTCACCATGCTGGCTGTGTTTACAATGTAGGACTGTTGGGCCGGGTGTAAATCGAAACAAACCAATCACATCTTGTCTTTTGACAACTGACAAGTGGCTCAACCTCACACACCTCATCCCTCTCCTCGCAACACTGCATCGCTAACAGCTGTTAGCGACCAGCGACACTAACAGGACTAACAGCGCTAACAGTGGCTAACAGCTGTTAGCAGCGCCGCTAACAGCTGTTAGCCGCTGTTAGCTGTGATTCTCCTTCAGCAGCTCTCTCCACCTGGGAAAGGCTACCCCCATGTTGACCCTTGTTTTTTGAAATCGCCGGTCACGTTGCCTTTTTTCAAATGCACCGGCACTTGTGACTAGCCTGCTTGCTGCTGCTTTTCACCACTCTACCTGCAGGTGGAAACCGGAAACCGACAAGTGAAAACGCGAAAGGCGATTCCGTATTTCTCAAGTATGTCCCTGTACATACCTGTATTTTAAAGATGGAGCACGTACATGATGAGACACCGGTCGCAATGTATATGTAAATGAGAATTTCGGAGCTTACAGACATACTTAGATATGCCGATGGAGGTAAATACACATGTGCTAGGACACACTTTTGACTGCAAAATTTGTTTGTCTCAAAGAACAACTGCAGGGTCAAAAGTGATGATGTCATGTACCTATTTGTGACCATGTAAGATTAATAACTGCAATATGGCAAATGGTGGTGTTTAATCCACCTACGTTAGTCCATATATTGATGTAAAACCATGTCTCACAATATATTCCATCAATTAAATAAACATATTATGTTTCCATACCTGTCCAGGAGGAAGACAGCCGATTCAAGATTGGTTTTGAATCCGTCAAAATCCTATAATTTTCTTAATCCTCTCGCTAAGGGCCGATCATGTTTTCAGCCGTGCTCTGTCACTGCCCCCTCAGTTTTTTGTCAGTCCTCTGCCTCTTTGCTAATCCTGCCCTTGTGTCAGCCATAATCACAAAATATAATGTCAAATATACAATTCTCTGAAGAAAAATCTCCTGCTTCCTTTTAACTGGCCAACATACTGCTCTCTGTGAAACTGTAAAATGCCTTTTTGAATATTAACAAGATCTAAAGTCTGTGTGTTGTAAATTGTTTCATCTGATTTCATTGGAATCAGACCTGGGGACAGGCATTAAGGGCGTTTTCATGTCGGGTACTAATGGTTTTTACTGTTTAACTTTTACTATTGCCCCTCCCCCTTCACTCC